TCCTCTGTTTAGCCCTCTGGATGCTTTTTTTTTTTCAAGGGCGACTCCTTTTAATGTTTTTTGCAGAAACAAAACATTATTTTTACTGCGGAGAAAAATATTTCAAGCTCAGTGTAAAACTGAATGTGTCAGTGACTTAAACCAGTTAATATTGTCAAGCTGCTTTATTAGCTTGATTTAGTAATATTGCAGTGCACCTACCATCAAGCATCACATCATCAATGTTGCAGAGGTTTGCAGCTTATTAGAAGGGGGTTGATAAGCCTTCAAGCAAGCTCTCTGTAGTTTTAGAAATAAAGAGTCTAAGGTCTCACACAAGTGATGGGAGGCAAAAGATTGGAGTGCCAATTGTTGGTTTTCACATGACGTCACTAAAATTCAAACTAGAAAACTATCGATCCTGCCGAAATTCTACTTTCTCGATGCACTAGAGCAGCTGAAAACTAATTTTCATACAAATTTTCACTTCGAAAGGGTTCTTGGTTTTGTGATAGAGTAGGCTTGAATTTCTAAGCTTTTGCGTGACGTAGCATTTACATGACAGCCAAGAGAGCTGTCATGTAGGTTAAAAAAATGACTTATTTCAGGAAATTTTGCTATCTAAACAGTTCATGTACTAGAAAAAGTATTACTTTAATGTTTATGAGCTTCTTGAAGAGTAAATTCACGCTTTTTGTTTCTGTTGGTTTCCGTCCGCCATGTTGGAGCTCATCCAGGTGAGCACCAGCATGGCGTCTCCATACAAATCTCTATAAGTTTGGGTAAAACATTTCTTCGGATATCTCGAATGCGAAATATTCCTCTGACCTGAATCTTGGCGAGGGTCTTTGTATATGTACCTCCTTTCATTCCCCAGATTAAGGACTTTATCTATAGAACGATTTTCATTTATATTTTGATCTATTTTGAATGGCGTGACACTGAAAACCAGTAATATGTTTTTCAGTAAACGTGCGCAACTGTATGTGTATAGTGGCCGCATTACACTTACTCAATACTTCGTGTAAAATAACACAACAGATCTTGTTACCTATTTTCCCTGATTTTGTTTCTCCTCCAGGGGGCATAATTTCTCTTAACATATCAGGCTTTTCAAAAAAGGGGCAAAAAGCTTTTAAATGAATTAAAATTCATTTAATGAAGCACAGTATCAAAGAAATTAAAGAGAAGAATCAGACTAGAGTAACAGTAATCTCGAGGGGAGGAGTGGGGTACTCACCGAAGAGGCTTGCCTCAGGGACCAACCCCTTAATTACCCTTTATGTACCATTTTAGACAGAAAAGGTACCCCTTTTGTATACCCTCTAGTGACAAATGGTACCCCTTTCACATACCTAATTTTGAACGCTGCATCCCTTTTTAACTGCTGTAAATACACCATCTTTACAATATGAATAAATCGCTAATACAAGTTTTCTTGTCTCTCACATCCATAAAATGCATCTGTGACTGATCTCATTTTGGTCCCTTTCATATACTTCAACTATAAAAACCCCTTCCCTTTCATGTACCTGAAGCCTGAAAAAGGTACCCCTTTCGGGGGGAGCCTCTCTGTTTAGGCCATTATAGTACCCCCTCCTCCTGCACCGAGAACAGTGCTTGATACAGTGATGTTGTATGGTATGAATTGCATCGTTTCGTGCCCATGAAGAGGTACTTCGATTATTTTATCACAATTTTCATTTTTCTTCAAAAGAAAGGGAGGGGTTTGGGGTCTCATTCTTAGGGGAGGGGGGGGGGGCTAATTGGGGATCTGCAGTGAGTGAGAATATTGCATTCAATGCAATCCAATGGTTTTGATTCAGGAAAGGGTGGTCAGGGGTATTTCGTAGAAAGACAAATGGCCATTGTACGACTTTGAAGTTTATTGATTAGGGTGAGGAAAATGAGTGAATTAGGTTCCGTTAGGGTCATTATACTGGTCTATACTGGGCAAACTGACCTGAAACAAATTGTTTCACAAAATAATAAACTGATACTATTTTATTTTCATTTATCAGTGAAACACGTCTATATCGTGAATGCTTGCAGTGTAGTAGACCTAATAATATTAAAAGCAGAACCAGATTGTTATAGGAGTCTTACTAATTATGTCATGACATGGTCAAAAACATTTTTCAAAGCAGTCATCTCTATCAAAGGAAATAGGAGAAGTCTGCACGCTGGCTACCTGACTACTTCGATGTATGTTATCTATCATGGAAAAGTAGTTCATTGCTTTGTGGGCTAGACTCAGTATAGATTCGCTTGAGTTCCAAATATGGCTGTACATGTGCTTTGAGAGTTTTTGTCCCGATTGGCTTCTTTCAACTGCTGATAGAGCACATTTTGTTTCCTGCAGATAATTGTTTAGTAAAACGCAAAAAGGTTGAAAATGTCATGAAGTTATTACCTCCGTATTATTTCAAGCACCTCATGAGCATATAGTTCAAGAAAAATAGCGACGTTATCGGTTAAGTTTGTTTCGACCGTTCTCTAACATCGATCATCGGCCATATTGGATTTTTATGGAGGTTACCGCAGACTACTCGTTCCCAGACTTCCGGTATTGTTGAACGTATTTTAGTATTTAAACGGTAGATATAGGCATATTTTTATGCCCTAAGAATTTTTCATCTGTTCTGATTTCCTCGCTGAAAGTCTAGTGATCCGAAAATTATAGGGATCAAAGATTACCTTTTCGAAAATTTCCGCCAGAAAAAAGGCTCCTGAAAAATTCTAGGTGACCTTTTTAGGGTAAAAATCCGTTAAAAATAGGCAATCATATCATTTTTTGGATGTTCGAAAATCCAAGGAGAGGTCACAAGCAAGAAATTTTACAAAAAATGTCCCGAAAATTCTAGATCTCAAATCGTCTTCCGAACAGATATTTTTCGAAAATTGACGTTGGGTGCCCCTGAAAAATGTCTAAGCAGAAGAAGAAGATTAATTTTAAGGCTAAGAGCATGGCAGCATTGAAGGAACGATTAGAGCTTGTAGTGAAAATTCCCGCCTCAAGGCAGCTAACATGGTTTTAACGATGGAACTAAACTTCGCAAGAGATAAAACTGGTGATGAAGGCAAATTTCACACGATCACATGCTATTGATTTCGAATCCATTTTTCGCTAAAAAGACCGTTTGGCCATTTTATATTGTTGTTTGACATTTTGCTTTTCAATTGTATTTTACGGCAAACAGGGACTCTTTTGATGATGGTGATGTTGATGGTATTTACTAATTGAAGTTGAATCAAGAGGCTGTTCACATATTTGTAGCAAAAAAGTGCAGGCTTTTGTGAACATGTACTGAGTTTGTATTTAATCGTGTAGAGACAAAAGGAGGCAGTGCACTAGAGGATATACTTCAGCCAAGATAAGAATAAGCTTACTTATATTTAAGCGTATAAAAGGCGGTCGAGACGAAAATGTAAGCACACTGCGATATCATGAATTATAAATGTATCTGCATCATTAGTTTAATTTTTTCAAGTTGAGATCCACCGCGCAACACCATTCTTTCAACTGAAGAGGAGATTTACACGCGCTTATTGAAACTCCATGTTCCGGCAAATATATTTTTCTGTTTTACGTACTACCACACTCAAGGCGGTTAAAGTCACTCCAGATCTTCTGCTTTGACATTTTGAACCTTAAACTATTCGATTTTCAACAGCAAAAGGGAAGGAAAATATACACGTTAACGCGAACTTGAAATAGCGACTCTCATAGTTCATACAAGTACAGTGGAAACCTTAAGCAGCCAAGACGAGTTTGTGGACGACTACAAGAGAAGATGAGTGAGGTCTGGGTCGAGAACGTCGTCCAAAGCGGGAAAAACAAATGTTCAAGCAAGCTCCCGTCTCGGCTTGTCGCCGAAGTAGGTAGACTGCACTGAATGGCTTCGTTTAAAAGAAATACGAGAGTTGCTTCTTTTTAGCGTTGAGAACGACACAATTAACGGGGAAGAATTTTTCCTACTCTCCGAAGGATTTAAATCCAAAATTTGCTACTGCTGCAGCCAGCCCTTTTACAGCTCTTTTGTAGCGCTTCTTGAAGCCATTCTGCAGCGCTGCAACAGCGCTGCTTGTTTCGTAGGGAAAAGTTCTAAATAACGCCTCCCTCTTATAAATGCCGCACCCTATCAGAAGAATGCAGCATTTATTGGAGGATTCATTAACAATTATTCCACCTTACGATCCGACAAAGGCGACGTCCATAAAAACGTCGCTGAAAAACAGACTTCGCATCATTTTAAACTTTTTCGCGATTATCCCAATTCGCCCTGTTACTTAAAAGAAGGGGATTTTGGAAAGAGCTGAAGAGAGGGGAACGCGCTCAAGTTCGGACAGAGATGGTAGAATTTATTGTCTTGCCGTTCCCGTTCCCGAGTAAACTTAAAATTAGGTCATTTCACTTCGCAGTTGTGCAGTGAAGGCAAAGAAATGTACAAAAAAGCGTGATGCACGTGCAGAGTGGTTGTTTTGCTCATTAAACCTATTGTTTTTGGACGTGCTCGTTGCCGTCGTCGTCATGGTTTCGTAAGGTCCTTAAAAGCCCACGAGGCCGAAGGCCGAATGGGCTATTGACTCTGAGGCCATGAGGGCAAGAGGAATAATTTTGACAGTTTTAGTAAATCTAACTACAGGTAGTTGGTCAAAAATATCGAGACAAAACAACTTAAGCTAGCAACATGTGATTCAGCCGCCATTGTTTTGGTTTTCTAGGTTGGCACTTTTCTCTCCTAGTGGGCTATAACACCTAGCCTAGTAGTAGCTCAACCAATCAGAGTGCAGTATTGATAATAAACCACCAGTTGGATTTTACTAATAATGGTTATTGGACCGAGTGGAGTCCAATTCAGTCTGAAATAATGTGAGTGATTAACAAAATTGGGCGAACGCGTCGCAGGAGTCCATTTTGTTAATCACTAGTATGATTTCAGAGTGAATTGGATGACACGAAGTTCTGTTACCAATTAATCGTAACTATAACAAAATTTGTGATTTTTAGGCTTTTTTCTGATTAAATCACAAGAAATTCTGAGAGGTTTTTTGCTAGCAGTGAAAAAATCCATTTAAGTGTGCGCGAGTGATGGCACATACCGTCCAATTACTTAGACATGACATATACTGTCCTATTACACCGTCCTATTAGTGCTGAAATCAGGACAGTTGATAGCCAATCAGATTTGAGAATTTTGTTATACAGAGTTATGATTATTAGAAAAACTTGATACAACTTAACGAGGATAATCTACACAATCCAGATTATTATGATTCTATCTCAGCACAAAAGGCAAGAGCAAGACGTATAGGAACATAAAGCATCTTTCTGCTGTCTATCACACAGTTAGAAAAAAGTCAACATGTTTTCTTTACTCCATCTTCACCGCTTAACTTACAATTCCCGAATGCCAGTACGCGGCACACCACATCTCCAATTTTAAATTAAGTAGGGTAGCAAAATTAATGAATATATTTCTCAGAAGGACAGAATTTGTAATCATAGATGGCAAACTCCTACCCAAAATGACTTCTTACAAATTTCATTGAATAAACAGGTGAGTCAGACAGGTCTGTTCATAGTAGAGCTGACTCCTTTGATTCTATTTTCTTGTGACCATCTCTCATTTGCTGAATCATTTACTCTAGTATTGGCAATTTGGGGTATCGCTTATGGGAGTCTAAACTGTAGTATTTAGTATAGTGTATAGTGTACTTGTTTTGTTAAAATGTGACATTACTTCTTATAGAACAGCCTGCGTTCACCACACATCCTAAAAATCCTGAGATATTCAGGGAAGGGGGAAGTATAACCTTTTCAAGTGATGCAAATGGCATTCCTGAACCAACATTTTCTTGGACCAAAGACGGGTCTGAGGTAACTGCCGACGATAGAATCAGTTTATCAGCAGATAACAAACAACTGAGTCTTACAAATGTGAATAGGACAGACAGTGGAGAATACAGATGTGTGGCTACCAACAGTGTGAGGACAGTTTACTCAGATGCTGCTACATTAACAGTGCATTGTAAGAAAACTTTTACTCACTTTTTACTTGAACCCAATTGAAAAATCCTATAGCGCTAAGTAACATTCTTTTACATTCCTTCCACTGCTCCTATCCTGGATTATCTCAGTCACTTCATATGAGCACTGCCTTTCAAAAAAAGGGCTTGTCAGGTGCTCCTCTGACTTGATTACCTTTCAGTACTCTTTTATTCAGAATCGAAAAAGTTGTACAATGCTAGAAAACACAATTATTTTGTATTTGTGGGGTTTTTTTGCTTATCAAAGGAGCCCTGCTTATTTCTATATTCATATTAATATCTTGATATGAGAAGTGTCTACATATGTAACTCAAGTAAACTCAGTTTCTTGTACATGGTCTTGGACTGTCCAGAGTACTGCTAAGGTAAACACTGATGCTGTCAATCAATACATTTACTGTGATTATAGAGTATCTCAGTATCACGTTTACCTCTAAAAGACTTACTTTCTTTTGTCAACACATGTAGCAGTCTGTTATCTAAGTTTTGTTTTGCCAGTGTGTCTTAAGATCATTGAAGTACATCCTTAACTTCAGTCCCAGTGTTCTCCCTAAATTTTAGCTCAGCAGGTAATGGACCAATCCTGGCCGTTTAGGCAAAAAATATGCGCCAGAGGCGCAATTTCCTACGAGAGGAAAGGGGGGTTAGTGGAGTGAGGAACATTGACCCCCCTTGCTGGAAAATTTAGGAGCTTAGTTCTCTGAAACGTCATTCCCTTATTTTAAGACCTACATTTACTTAATGCGAATCAAACTGTTGTAATATTTAGACAACATTTTAAAACGTTTGATTCCAATAGTTTTACCAGTGCCTTGAATGCTCTGTTTCTAAAAACAAAGGCTGCGTTATACTTTATTACTTTTCAATATACTGGTATTCATTCATTCCTTGTGAGAATCGGATCGGATCACAACTTGCTTTATTTTTTAAAACAACTAATTTGATGTGAGTAAACTTCCAAGCAGTTTTAGGCGGTAAGAAGTGTTGCTTTAAGCTGTAAAATTTACCGGTTACTAACTGATAAGGAGAACACTTTAGTCCTTAGTTATTTTGTAAGTAGATATTAAACTGAAAATGTACTTCACTCTCTTAGGAGGGTGCATTTATTTATTAATTTCTTATCACAGATCAGCCTGAATTCACTGAACACCCACAGAGTCAGACACTGGTGCAAGGATCAAGTGTAGCCCTTTCAAGTGATGCAAATGGTGTTCCTGAACCAACATTTTCTTGGACCAAAGATGGATCTGCTGTAACTGCCGACAATAGAATCAGTTTATCAGCAGATAACAAAAACCTGAGTATTACAAATGTTAATAGTACAGACAGTGGAGAATATAGATGTGTGGCTGCCAACAGTGTGGGCACAGTTAACTCCAATGCTGCTATGTTAACAGTACATTGTAAGAAAACATTTACTAGCTTTTTACTTAAACCCAATTGTGCAATCCTGTAGCACTAAATAACCATCGTTTTACACACCCTCCACTGCTACTTTCCTGTATTATCGTGTGGCACGAAATTTTTGAGGGTTCTGATTTTTACGATTTTTCCAGCGATCCGCAAAAATAAGTTCCCGCAAATAACAATCACCTCAAACACTTTTCCCGCAAAAATTTACTAACTTAAATTTGCTACACAAAAATATAGTACTAAGAAATTGCGTCTGTTAAATTACATAGGGTACAAATAGCGTAGTATTGTTTAGAAATAATATTTCTATTCCACGTACTTAACAAAAGCGAAAATATTATCAATGCTTGGCACTGGGTACTTTCTGAAAATCGCAAAAATTAATTCCCAGCAAGAAAAACCAGTCTGTTTTAGTCGCAAAAATTAGTTCCCGCAAAACACAAAAAATGGCCAATCTGCCAAAATAAACTTCCACATAAATTTCGTGCCACACGGTATCTCAGTCACTCCATATGAGCACAGCCGATCTTCCGTAACATAGAGGAAAGAAAAAGGGCCTCTACTTTGATTACCTTTCGCTTTTCTTTTATACAAAATCAAAAAAGTTGTGCAATGCTAGAAAACACATTTTTTTATTTTTTTTCTAAGGGGCAAACTGCAGTGTTGGTTACACATGTTGGTTAGTAATTTTAACCCCGGCCAAACCCAGATTTTGTGGTCTTGGAGTAATGTCCAGACTACTACACCTTTTGCTGTTTATTAAGACAAAATAGGCAGTCATTTGCGTGAAAGGGTGACCAATAGCGCGCAGATACATTCATTAAACCGAACATTTGCACATAAATGACATTCAATTACGATTTTTGCATTTTAATCAACATTCACTAACATTTTGGGACATTCGTATGTGTCATTTGGCACACAAAAGAGAAAGATGTACTTTCATTAAGGCCAACATCCAAGTCATTTACACCATCTTGAAAGTCTATAGGGACATAAGACAAACATTAAAGTGCAAACACTACTCATTAACATTTTTATTTCACTGTTTGCAATTCAATAGCATTCCTGGACGGCCTTATGACGGTTAAGACAAACATTAATGCGCTTGAACAATCAATTCAATCGATTTTCAATTAAAAAATAGAAATTCAAAAAAAATTACGCTACCTGGTTTAAAGAACCATGACGTACTGTGCCCCTTTGTGTTTGGCCAAGACTGCGGCTATACATTTACGATTTGGACGGCCAGAAGTCATAGTAGGGAGCGACAGGGAGAGAGGGCGTACCGCCAAGGACGAAACTTGACTATGACCATGGCAATACATGTACATTTATCACCTATCAATGTTTTCCTCAGCAGCTGGTGGTGTAATGAATGCTCTTTCGGTTATTCGGTAACTTCCCGCCATTTCCGCCTCATACGTACACAGTATATGCTACCCCTCTCGACAATGTGGAAAAGGCACATATTACATGTAAGCCGTCTGAAAGCGACAATGAAGGCCAACATATCGCGTCCGGAAATTCAAAGATGTATGGATAACAGGAATGAGACAAAAGCCCTAAAAATCCCAATAGGGGAGTTTCGCACACAACAACTGCTTGAAGCACTGCGCAGAAACATAGACGCTGTGACCGCAGCTAAATGTGCTAATGGTTACCACTTCGTGCAAACTTACCTGCCAAGATGCAAAATGTTTAAATAGAGAGTTTATTGCGGGATATAATTGACTAAAATCCAGGCCAAATTTGTTTGAATTTATATTATTTTATTGAAAATCGATTTTTGTGCATTAAATGTAAGGAACACGCAATTAACCATCGTAAGGCCGTCCAGGAATGCTATTTAATTGCAAACAGTGTCATAAAAAATAGTTAATGAATAGTGTTTGCACTTTAAGGTGACTCGACCCAGTTTTTTTGGGCGGGTACCATCCTACTTTGAAGCTCTCTGGTATCCCCACCTTTACTTTTAGCGTAAGTCTAACACATAGAATGGATAACATATAGATCAATCTACAATATAACATAAAATTTTGGCGATCGGAGTAAATGTCACGTGGTTATAATACCACGCCCCTTTGAGGTCTGAGTCGAAAATCTGCTGTTACCGGCATTTTTTCGTGAAAATCTCTCTGCTACACATAGTGCGCATTAGTGCCTCGCGCTGAACAGAGTTCACCAAAATCGCAAAGACCCAATTCGAGAAATTCAGCGGTTTCCAAATTTAGGTCATAATTTATGCGAAAATGGTAAGCAAACTTTACACGGATTATATCTTATAAACTATGAGACTCATCTCTTTATTTTGGGCATCCTTATAACAGACGGGTCCTTGCAAGTCAGCAAAACGCTTTAGGGCCTTGTAAATGCGCGCGATTTCGAGCAAAGTAAACATATAGAAATTATAGTTTTCGCTATTTGTTGACGTTTGTCAGCGTTTAAGAGTCCTTCTCACGAAAAAAGCATTTTCTTAAAAATTCGTAGTTTTTTTTCCTTCAAATTTTTTCAGGGCCACAATTGATTAACTAACTACCCGGACTCTGAATTTCATGGTCATTGAAAAACTGTGACATTATCTTCTATAAGCCCAAACTTGAGTAAACATTGAAGATTTTTAGCGTTTTGGCTGAGTTTGTGCTTTGGGAGTTGTCTATTGTTTCTAGTCTGTCATTATACAGCATTCTTGTTCAGCACGCGTGCAATGACCACGCTTGGCTGACTTCCGAATGCTCACCGAGATACTCCCGTCACGAGTTGGTTTAATTATTGGCTTGCATTAAACCTATGAAAAAATGATATTTTTTTAATAGTAAGTAGATTTAGTGTGTAGCACTTCTTGATTTTTTTGGAAAGGCACAAGAAGCACGACAATTGATTAAAAATTGTGAGTTAAACCTCTATGTATCACGCGATGGCCTGTCTCACTGTACAAAAATTATTATATCTCGGTGAGCATTCGGAAGTCAGCCAAGCGCGGTCATTGCACGCGTGCTGAGCAATAATGCTGTATCATGACAGACTAGAAACAATAGACAACTCCTAAAGCACAAACTCAGCCAAAACGCTAAAATTCTTCAATGTTTACTCAAGTTTGGGCTTATAGAAGATAATGTCACAGTTTTTCAATGACCATGAAATTCAGAGTCCGGGTAGTTAGTTAATCAATTGTGGCCCTGAAAAAATTTGAAGGAAAAAAAACTACGAATTTTTAAGAAAATGCTTTTTTCGTAAGAAGGACTCTTAAACGCTGACAAACGTCAACAAATAGCGAAAATTATAATTTCTATATGTTTGCTTTGCTCGAAATCGCGCGCATTTACAAGGCCCTAAAGCGTTTTGCTGACTTGCAAGGACCCATCTGTTATAAGGATGCCCAAAATAAAGAGATGAGTCTCATAGTTTATAAGATATAATCCGTGTAAAGTTTGCTTACCATTTTCGCATAAATTATGACCTAAATTTGGAAACCGCTGAATTTCTCGAATTGGGTCTTTGCGATTTTGGTGAAACTCTGTTCAGCGCGAGGCACTAATGCGCACTATGTGTAGCAGAGAGATTTTCACGAAAAAATACCGGTAACAGCAGATTTTCGACTCAGACCTCAAAGGGGCGTGGCATTATAACCACGTGACACTTACTCCGATCGCCAAAATTTTATGTTATATTGTAGATTGATCTATATGTTATCCATTCTATGTGTTAGACTTACGATAAAAGTAAAGGTGGGGATACCAGAGAGCTTCAAAGTAGGATGGTACCCCCCCCAAAAAAAACTGGGTCGAGTCACCTTAATGTTTGTCTTATGTCCCTACTGACTTTTAAGATGGTGTTAATGACTTTGATGTTGGCGTTAACGAAAGTATATCTTTCTCTTTTGTATGCCGAATGACGCATATGAATGCACAAAAGTGTTATTGAATGTTGACTAAAATGCAAAAATCGTAATTGAATCTGATGTATACGCAAATGTTCGTTTTTTCGCGTCCATGAATGTATCTTAACGCTATTGGCGGCCGTTTCATGCAAACGAATGCGTATTTTCTCGTAATGAACAGCAAAAGGTGTACTGCTTAGGTCATCACTCACTCTTTCAATCAATACATTGACCGTGAGCATAGAACATCTCAGTGTCACATGTACTTTTAAAAACTTTAGCTACAATCATTGTCAAAAGCGTTGGGTAGGCTACTTTTTTTACGTCTTTTTTTTCTTTCCTTCTCCCGCCCCTGGCCCAATGTTGAGGAAAACGTTAATGTTTGTGCACGTAATTGTTCTGTTATATCCCAACATTGAATAGAGGGTCGGGGATATTTAGGAAAAGAGAAACTCTCTTTTTTGAGGATTAAAATGGACTACTGTTAAATTGTTCAACCTTCCCAACTACGTTTGTCTGGGAGTGTAGTTGCCTTTGTCAGCACATCTAGCAATCTGTTATTACTTGGGCAGAGCGCCAAGTAAAGGATTTGCGACGCCCAGGGATGTCCCAAAGTTGCTGCCTTATGTCCCGAAGTGAGAGCGGAATTAGTTTGGATATCTCGAGATCACTTTGAGTTGTCTGATTTATTCTTTGTTCGAGGAAGAAACAATAATTACTTCTGGCTTGTCCTGGGTTTGAACCGGCTCACCTGTGACCCGTCAGATCAGTGAGACTCTAAGTTGAGGGATTAGCTGAATGCGCGACTGCGACCCAAGGTAGTGAAAAATGGATATAAAATTATACACTAGCTTCGGGTCAAGTTAGTGACTTTTCGGCATGTTTCTGCTACAATAAATCTTTTAATTTATTCGAGGAATAATAAGTTACTTGTTTTGGCTTACCCGGGGTTTGAACCGATTCACCTGCCACCCGTCAGATCAAAGGGTATCTAGAAAACGCATGTCCTCGAAAACACAGACCGTAGACCGTACACCTCAAAAAACGCAGACCTCGAAAATGCAGACCACGAAAACGAAGACGTCGAAAACGGCAGAACTACGAGTCTTATTTAAGATTTAGACACATTTGGTGAAAACAACCAACTTTGCTCTTTTTTTCTGTTTGATGTTTAACTATATTGGGTTTGAGTTCGGTGCGAATATGGCTGGACAGGCAACAGTCGAACACACTCGAAATGGAGAAGTGGCTACCAGTTCATAACATTTGTTGGTAGTCGTGTGGGTTCGCAATTCTTTGAGCCAGTTTACGTTAGGAATTCCAAGGAAAAGTTCGAGCTATTTGCATACTAAACAACGTCAACTATGGCTCCAATCTTTTTCACCCATATCAACCAACCAAAAGTTAACAACATTGCGGCATTCACACGTGCCAGACACAAAAAAATCCTCTCGTACGCGTGATACAAGGACGCCCAAGTGTATGCTCTGATAGCGTCTTTTTTCTTTTTGAAATCATTGTTACCAAACTAGACTCTGTTTGGTCACTGTTTCAAACCTTGAAATTTTTTTGTTTCACAATCGTATATCATTAGCTTCAGTCCTGATTTATTATGGCAACTATCTAGTAAACTGAAAATGTGCATCAATCTGATTAAGGGGTGCATTTGGTCATTCATTTCTTATTACAGATCAGCCTGAATTCACTAAACACCCACAGAGTCAGACTCTGGTGCAAGGATCAAGTGTAACCCTTTCAAGTGATGCAAATGGTGTTCCTGAACCAACATTTACTTGGACCAAAGATGGATCTGCTGTAATTGCCAACAAAAGAATCAGTTTATCAGCAGACAACAAGCAACTGAGCCTAACAAATATGAATAGTACAGATACTGGAGAATACAGATGTGTGGCTAACAACAGTGTGAGGACAGTTTACTCGAATGCTGCTACGTTAACATTACAAGGTTAGGATACTTTTACTGGCTTAGACAGCAAAACTACGCTACACTAAACCGAACTGTTTTGCAGTCTATTACTAGCCTAATGTTGATCAACGACCAATTCTCCATACTCGCTCCAATAAACTTTTCTGCCAAGTCTTGTTCGTTAGCTGAAAAACGTCTGCATAACAACATTATTATGAGTTAAAACCATTGTTGAGTTGAAAAATTCCGCGTTGAGAATATAGATCATTTCGAAGACTAACAAACATACCAAATTCTGCAGGCAAATTTAAAAAAGAGAGTTTTTGACGTTCGCGCTGACCAAACACTACGCAGAGCCATCTTGAAGGACAAGAATTTGCCATTTCCACATTTCCCATAATGCACTTTGTTTCTGTGTTTATTGCCCCCCAACACACGCAAGCACTCGCAAAGACGATTGAAAGTCCCAAGAGAACATGAAGACAATTCTTATGCAAAACTGTTTGCGTGCGTTGAGGTACACGAAACACGCCAACAAAGTGTATTATGGGAAATGCGGAAATGGTGAATTGATTTGCATGCCACCCAACTCCACACATAACAATATTCTGTTGCTAATATTTGTGATCATCATATGGTGGTGTCTAGGATAATGATTGTATAGAGATTTAGTATCACGTTAAGGGCAAATGGCAGACATCACATTTTAAGTGAACCATTTCTCATAAAAGGAAATGAGCTGATAATAACAGTCCAAAATAATCGCGTCCAACGTTTGGAGAACACAGTTCACAATCGTTGGTTCCTTTGCTTCAAATTATAAGCCGTTATCTTTTTCGTCGTTCCTGCACCCTTTCAATGTCTTCAAGGTTTGGTTATTGCCATCTAAGCACTCCTTTATATTAGGATAAGTATTAATTTCATTTTCTTCAGAGCTCTTCATTGATTAAACTCAATGACACGTGTTGTCGGCCGCCATGAAACAAGCACGCACCAACGAACGCACTCAATAATCTGCGATTACTACTTGTTCTTATGGGTGAAACTACATTCCTGGTCTGAAACGCCAGCGGATTTCTTCGTTCCGTTTCTTTCAATGTTGATTTTGATAGCGTTTATGTCCGAGCAAGCGCGTGAAACCAACATACGCCACTTGTACATCTCCCATAGTGCAGCTTATTTGTCCCCCCAGATTTTGCATAACCTTTGTTTTTCATTTCTCCTGGGTATTACAGCCGTCCCAAGAGAAATTGAAAACAATGCTTATGCAAACTTTTGGGGGCAAATAAGGTGCATTATGGGAGATGTGTAAGTGGCGTATTGGGGGAAAGAAAAGGAAGTGATACCCTTTTTTAGGACCATTTAGTTTATTATTTGGGCGTCGTAAGGGTTTATAGTACTTGGAATTATTTTTCCAATAAATTCTTACTTTAGAATTATCAAATCAGACTCTCCTTAATATCTGTTCCCTAATCACTCAACCGCAATTGTACATGTCTTTTGCGTGATTCCTGTGAAAGTATCATCATTACGACGAAGAAAGAATGCACCTTTAACACACTAAGCGTCGCTCTACCAATAGGCGTTGCCATTGTCATTTGTCATTTAAAAGAGAAGTTTAAAATCATATCAGCTCCTAGACCAACCCATAAAGGTCAGGAGCTCGTCACTCCGGGTTCATCACTCCGGGTTGTCCATTGGCTACTAGTAAGTATCACAGTGCGTTAGATTTTCCGTCCATTTCTTTTCCCGCAAAAATGCAAAAATCACCGTTCAGTAATCTCCAATCATTTAAACTCTCAGACTCTTCGCTTGTCACTTCGTGTATGGTACCCTGTAGGGAATCATACTCGGCTCTGATTGGGTAATAGTTCTATTATGCGAAAGATGAATCTTCAAAAATCTAAAACGCTTTGATCATGACGTACACCTTAATTAGATGAAAGATGAACGGCCAAAGGTGATTGGCTCCTGTTAAGGTACAATTTCTCCTTTTCCCGTCCATTGTCAGGTGCACCAGGACAGCAACAAGGGGGATTTGAATTCACTGCTTCGAGTTCGACCAGTACACACGATGGCCGATCCGAATACAAGGCTTCCTTTAAAGTTACTGGCAATCGTTTAATTGACGGAATTGCAAAAATCAGTGATGTAGTAATGAAAGTATTAGCCGTTGTTTTGGTTGACCAAGTGGCATGTTACATCCGGAACGTAGAGCCGTTTAACTCAATTCTTGTCGAATTGGGCTGTTATACTACAAAAAGCTTCGTCTCTTTAGTGGAAGACTTAGAAAAAGGAAGAGTAAAGCGACGGCTGGAAGAAGAATTTGAAAACGTTGGATGCAAAGGGGAACTGGAAATAAGTATCACAAATGCAGAGGAGGTGCATGAGGCACTGGATGAGATAAGGTAATTTTGCGCTTTTCCCATTTTAAGTTTAATGGCTTCTGTATTCACTCAACAATTATTATATGTAACAATATACAAAGACTTTCTCATCAAAATACTGTCATCATTTGCGTACGCTTGTTAGTACACAAAGCATCGCCGTGATCAGTATAGCCTGCTCCCAATGTATCTCAGTGATGTAGCTCAGTAATGGTAGAGCATTGCTACTCAGAAGCCACGAGTTCGAATCCAGTTAAGGCCTCAAATTTTTTTATCGGCTTTATTTATTTTGCAATTGCTTAAACTGTTACACTGTGGCGATCATATCTTTATTTAAATTTGTATTTCCGTAGTTCACATCATCTTCATTATACAAGCCATTACTGCCTGCGCTTTACAGCAGTAAAATCGCCTAATCAGGCTTAAAATTTACTAGCTTAGCTAAATTTAATAGCTTTAAAAATAGTTTTTGTTCGAGTTGTGTCCGTATTCACACTGTCGGGAATATTGCAGCTTTTTACAATATGGTGGTGTAATTTTCTAACTGCTCAATATATTTTTTTAAAAAGTTGAGATTCTCGAGATTAAGTGTCGTTTTAGGAGACCTTTGAGTTTCAAGATTATTGATATAATGTAAGGCAGTAAAATATGGGCTACAATTCGCTAATTTTTTACCGGAAGTTTCGTGTTTACAACTAAAAGCCTCTCATTATTCAGGGTATTGTCTCCAAGTGTCATTTTCACGTGAACAGCGCTAGCATTAACTAACAATGCGTTTGAAATATGTAAAAATGCTAGCTATTGCTGTCCACGAAAATATGAGACTTGGAGACAATACCCTGAATAATGAGAGGCTCTCACTTGTAAACACAAAATTTCTTATAAAATATTAGCGAATTGTAGCCCTTATTTTACTGCCATATTAATTATCTTGAAACTAAAAAGTCACATTAAAGGACGGTTAATCTCAGGAATCTTGATTTTTTTAAAAAAAATCTATCTAGCGCTTTAAAAGTTATTTGCTAATTTGTTAAAATAGACCAAAATGTTTACAAAAGCGCCAACAGGTGTGCCTCGATACATACTGATCAAATCCTTCTTTCTACCAATCGGCGTTTCTAAAAATATTGAAACTACCATGAGGTGAAATTTCATGTCAAAAGCGCCTCGTTTTCAACAGATAACGGCCGAACATCAAGATTGTCTATTTTTTTACCGCATTTCTAATCATAAAAACTTCATCTTAAAATATCAGATAACGCTCTTACAGATTTCGCTTAAACTTCACGAACATCGAGGCGGCTAATGGAGGAAAAAGCTCCCATGAACTATTTGGGAGTAAAATTTCCCAGTGCCGAGAAATACTGCTGCAAGTAATGGCGTCATTTCGTTGCTATGACAACTCTGATGTCATTGCAACCCTGATCATGACAAATCTCCATCTTTATCTCCATGTAATACTCCATGTAATAAATCTTTGTTTATGGCGACATAGTGTATCGAGCCACCTTGATTGCATTATTGTTAACAGCCTTTTCAAAACCATTCAAAGCCGAATAATCGCGTCAACAGTTTGAAGACTGTCAGTGTGAGTCCCTTTAATTTTAGTGACGACAGCCGTTTTGAAGATTTGTTCCAGTTCGGGCATTTTCAAGTGGTCAAGAACAGTGGTGCCAAGGAAGGGTCACCCTTAAAAATTGCTGTTGATATGACAACCAAGGCTGTCACGTGACAGATTATGTAACTAACTAGGTCAAGAATCACATGTGCTGATGCGTAATTTAATTTTCTTTCACACCTGTAAATATGAAGATATTGAAAATAGAAGAGGAGATATGGTCAGATAACCAGATAGGGGTTCAAAATGTAAATAATGCAGGAAATCAACAGTAGTATTTAGAGGTGCCATTGACCAAAAATGTGACTACTGTTCTAAAAATCTTGATTTTACCATTTTATCCCTTTGTTTAGAGTCTGCTTATGTTGTTTTTCTTAAATATTCATCAAAAGTAAATATGTCTTGTATAAAAATGGCATTAGGAAATCACCATGCTTAAAAAATGCCATTTATGTAACTTTTCATGTGATTTCGTGACAGGTCATGTGACCACTTAGGTGAAACATCACATGTAGTGATGTGTAATTTAATTTTCTTTGACACTTGTAAAAACAAAGAAGATATTGAAAATAGAAAAGGAGATAGAGTCTGATGACCAGAAAGGGTTCAAAATGCAAATAATGAAGAAAATCAACAGTAGTAGGTAGGGATACCAGGGACCAAAAATGTCACTACTGTTCCAAAAATTTAGGTTTTACCATCTTAGCTCTTTGTTTAGGGTCTTCTCATATTGTTTTTGTTAAACATTCATCAAAGGTAATTATGTCTTGTATAAGAGTGGCAGCATGTAAGCATCATGCTCTAAAAACGCTAGTGTGACTTCCCATGTGTTAACGTGACAGGTCATGTGACTAATTAGCACACATGTCAGGAATTATCCTTGGTTTTATTCAAGAACTTTTTGCTAACCAGCTGCGGATGACATGGAAGAGCTGGTGGAGGGAGATAAATTCCGTCATCCGTGCTTTTCTCTAATAATGAGTCAGTAAATCTCTATTCGGATTTGTAGAGTTACTCAGGTCCGCAGTCTGAACCTTTTGCAGCTTCTTCACCCGAACAGTTTCCAGAACAGAACGACGGGATGTCAAATATTTTACCTTTCATTTGGTGTTTCTGATTTATTTTGGAAGCGCGTTTGATTAACTTATTTCCCAGTTTTTTTTTTTTTTTTGTCAGAAAGGAATACTGCATTACGACTAAAGGTGTCGTTTTTTTTTCTTTGAAAATTGTAGGTTAAAAAGAACAGGATTTCGCTTGTTCACTTGTTGCACAAGAAGTAGGGGATACGCCAACAATCCGTGAGGGCGTGGAGAGTGAAATACCTGCGGATGGTGAGTGTACAACTTTGTCGTATTTTATACAGGTAAATGCGTTTATCACAAGGAACCCGAACACTGTATTAGCTAATGAAATAATCAGTTGCTATTCATTATTTACCTGTGTGTCCTGAGTCTTTATTTATGAGTCATTTTGGGAGGAATTTGAATCCAATCAAAGACGCTTAACATTGCTAGTATCAAATGTTTGCTTGTCTGGCGCGTCGCATGAAGGACGCGACAGTTACGTCTCAAGCTAACTATTAAAATAGTTAGCGAGAGTTAAAACTCTCCTTGGGAGACGATATCGGGTTTCAAATTATTTAACGGCTACGAGAAGAGAAAAGAGACTTTTCCTCTTTACCGAGGAGAGGTCATGCTTTGTGTATAGTGGCTGTTCGAGAAGACTCTTTCTCGTAAAATTTAAAGGCACCGTCTTCCTTTACACGATCCTTCCTTGATGTAAAAGTTTCTCAGATAAAATTCAGTAAAGCAAACTACTCAGCGAAATATGTCCTCCCTGTAGACATCCCCACAAGTCGAGCTCAAAATTTTTCTCGAGCGTAAAGCGCGAGCTAGAAATTTTTTATGTTTTCGGTGGCAAAGTGAACGAGAAACCGGGAGCTGGGCCTAATACCGGAACCGGAAACGAGAAGCAAAGGACTTTGAGAAAGTCTATCCGGTCTTCTCCCATTTTCCCGCATGCTCCTCGCACACTTTGCGTTCTTACTGATGAAATGCAGATGCGTCCAAGGAAAAAAAGAAAAAACAGTAAGATAATCGCGGTTTTTTTCACCTTCTACTGCGGTCGTCGGACAAAAACCTTCCAGTATGGTTTTTCAATTAAATTAGGCATTTAGTTTAGGGAAGACTATTCCATAAAACAAAAATTCTAGCACTACTTTATTAAGAGCAAACTTCCTTTGAGTGACAAGATTGAATCCTAATCACAGATCTAGTGGCAGTCTGTGTAAAGACGTCTTAACTTAAACTGATCACAATTGTTATAGGGAACACACACTTCACGAGTAAATTACAGGGTGTGAAAACGTTCGTGCCCTCAATTTTTCCTTCGGGGTTTTGTTTAAGTTATTGTTAGATGATATGAAATAATGTCGTTATGAAATTGAAGTCATGAACATATGCTTTTTGGTTTGTTTTTTGATAACTTTACACCCAACACGCGCAGCCACTTTTTCTCCTTCAATAATTATTTAACAATTTTCACGCATTTTCACTACCTTTGCTAGCAAATTTCCTCGGGGACTAAAAGTTGTGATAAAAAAAGGCAGGCCGCGCCTACGAACAAATAATGAAGTAGCAGGACTGAACGCCTATGAATCAGAAGCTATCCCAGGGCACTTGACCTTAGTTAGAGCTGGCCGGACATCAGACCAGTCCATTCGTTAAGAGGATTCCAGTATTGATCAGGACCATCCCGCTGCATCAGCCAGTTTCTGAATGGTATACAAAGTAGCGACGAGATTTTAGTTAAAATATCCGGAAAAAGGCTTTAATTATACCGTTTCTTCCATAGCACCAGACCACATAGCAATTTTTTTAGGTATGGAGTTACAAAGTGAGCTTAAAAGAGGGCCTGGGACGTGGAAATTCAATAATACTTTATTAGAAGATCAAGACTACATAGATTTAATAAATATTATTTACCCTCGGACACAAGGGAAAAAGAAACTGACTGCAGTTGTCCTTCTTGATCTAAGCAAAGCTTTCGACAGTATTGACCATCAAATACTCCTTGCTAAGTTACAGGACATTGGTGCGTCCAGACCTGCGATAAAATGGCTCGGAAGCTATTTAACCTCGCGATACCAATTTGTGCGAATAAATACAACTCTGTTTACCAAACTACCTGTTAGCTCTGGCGTTCCACAAGGGAGCATCCTTGGCCCATTACTCTTTAACATCTACGTTAATGATCTCCCTTCTGTGCCAGTAAATTGTACATCGCAGTGTTACGTCGACGATACCAAACTTCTCATGTCATTTCAACTCCGCGATCAGCACGAAACGATAGAAAAAATGAACAAGGACTTGTTAAGCATTAGGAATTGGTGCTTTGATAATCAGCTTTTACTCAACCCAGATAAAACAAAACTAGTGATATTCGGCAGCCGGCAAATGACTGCTAAGGTTAGCGACTTTAGGCTATTTCTATTGGGGAAGGAACTCGAGCCCGTTAAGGCTGCAAGAGACCTTGGTGACACACTGGACTCTAACTTAACATATAATGAGCATATTGTTTCTACTGTATCCTCATGCATGTCACGTTTGGGCCAAATTAACCGCGTTAAGCATATTTTTAATAAACACGCGCTAATTATTATTATAAATGCCTTAGTATTTAGTAAATTATTCTATTGCTCTTCTGTTTGGAGCAATACTACTCAAACTAATCTGGACAAGCTCCAAGCAGTACAGAATTTCGCTTGTCGTATTTTGAGCGGCGCTAAAAAATTCGATCACATAACTCCTTTGCTAAAAGACTTGCGCTGGCTACCAATCAGGCAACAACTTTATTTTCGTTTTGCTGTTCTGGTTTTTAAGTGCATGACGAGTTGTGCTCCGGAGTATTTGACATCAAAGCTCGTTGGAAGATCCGCCGTCTCGACAAGGAATACGAGAAATTCTCAACTTTTGAACATACCACTCTTCCGCACTGCCAGCGGCCAAAGGACCTTTCAATATAGAGCAACCTCTCTCTGGAATGAGTTGCAGCCTGCGCTCAAACTTAGCCCATCCGTGACGGAATTCAAGTGTTTACTCAGGCAAAAGCTTCTTAATGACTGCTTTATGTAATTAACTTAATTAATTTTATTGACCTTTGTCTTCTTTTATCATTGTTATATTCTTATTGTCATGTACTTGGTTTATAATTTTGTAATGTAAAATTGACTCTGAAAAGCCCCGTGGGGACGAGCCAATAAAGTATGTATGTATGTATGTAAGAAAAATACAAAGATGTAGAAAGCAAGCAACTTCTTTGGGAATTGGTAAAGATGGAACTTCGAGCCAAGACCATAAACTATTCTAAGAAAAAAAGAGCTGAGGTTAAAAAACGTGGGATTATCCTGCAACACAATTTAGATGAACTGGACTATAAAATTTGCAATGATGCCGATTTAGACCCTCATATCCTAGATCAATATGAGGCAGAGAAAAACGAATTGAATTATTTGTACGAATTAAAAGGTAAACAGGCAATTTTTAGATCCAAAGTTAAGTGGATAGAACAAGGCGAAAAACCAACAAAGTACTTTTTAATCTAAAATAGAAAAACTATGTAATGAAAACCTTGCTTCAAATTAAGTTAGATAATGGTGAAATCACTTCGGACATGACAAGGATAAATAAACAAATAGATGTGTTTTTTAGCGAAACATACAAATCCATGCCAAGCTTACTGATGTCCCGCTGTCTGAACAGGAATTAGGCATCAATGACTTTATTCAAAACTTGGAAATCCCACGTCTGTCTAACGAGCAACGAGCGACGTTTGAACATGAATTAACTGTACAAGACATTAAATATGTGTTACATTCCTTTGAGAAAATTACAATTCCTGGTGAAAACGGTCTCTCCAAAGAATTCTATGGAACTTTCTTTGACCTTTTAAAACAGAATCTACTTGATTCGTATAATGAAGCTTTTCAGAAAGGCAGTCTCTCAGTATCCCAGAGAACAGGAGTATTTTTTTTAATTCCAAAAAATGATTGCGACCTGTCAGAGCTTACTGGATGGTGCCAAATAACGTTGCTTAATGTTGATTACAAAATCCTGGCAAAGTGTATTGCAAAACGTATAGAACCTTTCCTTCCCCCAACTAATCCATTCGGAGCAAACAGGATTTATGAAGGATAGATTTATTGGTCAAAATGTAAGACTTTTGAATGATCTTATGGAATACACGGATGTGAAGAAGATCTCAGGAATTTTTCCTTTTATCGAATCTGAAAAAGCATTCGATTCCATAGAGTGGAACTTTATAAAAAGAAGCTTAGAATTGTTTAATTTGGGGCCATTCTTAACAAGATGGTTCTCAATTCTGTACAATAATTCCGAGGCAGCAGTGATGAACGCTGGTTACATGACAGACTACTTCACTGTATCAAGAGGAGTTCGTCAAGGGTGGCCGCTGAATCCATTCCCCTTTACATTGTCCGTTGAGTTACTTGCCTTGAAAATACGACAAGAGCCAAATTGTAAAGGGATAATACATACGTCTTCCTAACCTGCAAGAAGCTAAAATCTCACAATTTGCCGATGACACTACTCTGATATCTAAAGACACCAATTCTCTAAAATTCTCGTTACAGATCATCGGAAGTTTCAGCAGCATACCTGGTTTACGTCTAAATAAGAAAAAAACCAAAGCATTGTGGATTGGCTCCTCAAAACATAAAAAAAAACCCAAAATATTGGAATTTCACAGCATAAAAATACTCGGGGCGCACTTGTCGTATAACGCAGACAAGAACAACGATGCCAACTTCTTCAGCAAGATTCGTAAAATGAAAACTAAACTGAACCTCTGGCAAACACGTGCCCTTACGCCTTTTGCCAAATCCGTTCTAGCCAAAACGCTTGGTGCCTCTCAGTTAATCTACACTGCTTCACTAATGAATGTCCCTGATGCGGTAACACACGCGGCTCAAAGCCTCCTGTTCTCGTTTTTGTGGAAAAATAAGAAAGGCCCGTCTCTTTAACGTCAGTGCCGTGCAAGCTGTTAGAACACATTATTTATCGCAGTATTATGATACATTTAAACTCTTTTGACATCCTG